AAAGAAAAGAATAAGTACCATCGGAGAAATCATCTAAGTAGTAAGGTGCAGCTGATGATGCTCTGATAGCCTGCCATATCTGATGCTTGCAACTTCCTATAAAGGCATTGCGTTTATATCCAACCTGCGCTCCAGTAGTTGCAACACCTTGCCCGCCAGTTGTCAAGTTCTCAGAAATTGCAGAAGAAATCTCTGGTGTTCCTGCAGGGTACTGCAGTTCACCAGAACAAAAGTAAATTAGCAATGTACTATAAGAAAAAGAAAAAAAAAAAATTAAACACGACAATATAAAGATTGTAATAAAGAGAGCAATCTGAACCTGGTAATTTCGAAATATAAATGGCTGTGCTGGTACAACGCTAACCAAAGTAGACACAACAAAAACCTTGGGGACCTTTTTTAGTGCTGATTCTATTAGGAGATCCCCATCGTCATCAGCACACATCTCCTTCAGCAGTCTCTCAAACTGATCTGCACTGTGCTGGAAAAAGGTGCAAATAAATCTTCATAATGCATGACAAATTTCCAGAAAGTTCTGACTGCTTCTTTTTAGTATCGGTGAGACAGAAAGGAGCGCAGTTGGTAGATAAAATGAATAACAATCAACTGAAGGGGAATAAAAAAGCTGAATGCCCTTTGGAGCATCCATTAATTCCAATTCCATAAAGTAAAATTTCTTGCACACACATTTCTCCTTCAACCTAATGTGTTGTTTCATTAGGAATGAGATGATGAGCACAAGAGATGAAAGAAAGGAAATAAAGTGTAAATCAGTACCACATACCTTTGATCCATGAACAACAACACGGAAACTCTGTGATGAACTCTTGTAAAGTTGATCCAGCTTTTCTCTCCACGTTGCTGCTTCATTTTCCTTTGGAACAGGTTCAGCAAACACAAGTTTACCTAGAAAAAAGAAAAAAAAAAATTAATCAAAGAAAAATAAAAGAAGGAGAATTGATGATAAACAGATAGGTCTGGAGCTCTTTACTAAAGCAGATATTTATTACCAAGTTCTTTGTATATTTCTTCACACTTCTCCAAGGACATCAACTTTATTCCAAGAGCAACAGCAAGCATACCACCAGTAGATGTTCCACAAATAAGGTCAAAGAGTTCATGGATATGCTTCCCAGTACCCTTCTCAATTTCTTTTAGAATCTTCACAGTTGCCAATCCTTTCATACCACCACCATCCATAGTAAGTATGCGCAGTCCTCGCTTAGGGACCTGTCTTCCTTTAATGGCACGGCGAAGAATCTCATTTTCCCCTAAAATTTTACGCAGACAAGTCATATAAGACTCTATTTCTGATCCATGTTACATATATTTCCCATAAAAACCTACCCAATATCGCCAGAGCCCGAGCTGCAGCTTTACACACACGTGGCTCAGATGCAGTTGTCAGCCGCAGAAGGAGTTCCCTCAGACTTTCTGATGTTACAAGTGCTCGGCGGTTTTCCAAACAGAAAGCAAAGTTTCCAACAGCACATAAAGCTGATCTTTGCACCTAGAGAAGATAAGTTCATATCAAGCAGAAACGCCATCAAAAGTCAAAACACAATGTAGAACAAAAACATAACAATAACATGTAATGAAGCTTGCCTCTGGATCTCGGTGGCCGCACAACAATTTCAATGACCTTAATATATCTTTGGTCAACATCTTTTGGGCCACAATATCAGATGTAAAAGCCAACTTGACTACGACTTGCAACACAGAAATCACTTCTTTTGCTCCTGTGGATTTCAACACTCTTTCAATTGGTTGCATAATGTCAGACTTTATCAATTGCAAAGCCACTGAAACATCAGAAGCTAGGGCCGAGAGTGCAGAGCAAGCTTGTTCAACCTAACAAAAAGCATGAGTAAGTCTAAAAAAGAAAACTGGAAATAATAGGGCAACTAAGTTGCATACTGAAGCATACCACATGCTGATTGTCACTGCTTATCATACTAATGAGCTGCCGCACTGCATTTTCATCTTTACCCACAACACCACGGTTTCCCTCATCTTGCATTATCTTCGCAAGTGCAGATGCCAGTAAAGGGTGATGGCACGAAGAAAATCGGAATATGAGAGAGAAGAAGGCACTCAGTTTATGTCGAGATGCTACAAAATAAGAACTATTCTCCATCTGAATCAATCACCATAGGAAAAGGTCAACTTCAACTCAAAATATTCTATATGCTTGAACTGAACGATACAACCATAACAAGAGTACATCATGACACACCTCAATCTGCACATTAACAGATATTAGGTTTTCATCTGACACAATCCGAATGTTTGCAAGGGACAGATGGCGAAGTTGATGTAATGGCAATATATCAGGAAGAAATTCAAGAGGATTGCCAAACAGTCTTAATACGTGTAATCCTGCCATAGCCCTGTCAATAAGCTGAAGATGTGTATTAAGCTTCGGAAAATTGATAGATATAAAGTGAAGTGAAGCAGAACTGAAGGTGAAAAGTAAATGACCTGAAATCCAGAATAGGACGGACTAACTTGTTGTGTTCCAGAGACAACTCAACAAGACCCGAACACTGTCTTAACTCAACTGCTTATTTCCCAACAAATACAATGAATATATTAGCACAAATACCGTCGTTACCCTTCTCTATTCAATGCTGTAACTTTGAAAGTATCGATGTAGTCGCATCATTGAAAACCAACATGTAGCCATCATGTTAAAAAGAAATCAGTAACCCAAGAAACTTCACATCTTACCAGGCACAGAAACGAGCATGTTGTAATCTACTGCAAGAACTTTTAAGTTTTTCAGTTGGCCAAGCTCAGGGGGCAAAACTGATAGCTTATTGTTATCAAGGTATAGTTTTTCAAGAAGTGGAAGATGAGTTATCTCAATGGGCAATGCCTGCAGACAATAAAAACATGAGTGAATATTGGAAATTCCTTTATTCAAAGATCTCTAGAAGAAACTCAACAAGAATGATAAAAGTAAAATCTGAAATCAGAACCCAAGTCATACTCAACTGGCTTCAATGTTAAAAAATTAGAAAAACATCACCGACCACCATAAAAATACATAGAATTAGCAACAAACATGATAAATAATCTCGAAAAGAGAAAGCAAAGTACTGAAAGCAATATAGATTGAACGTATATGAATGTACATTGTACTTCAAGAACCATCATTCCCAATCATGACAAAGACCAGAAACTTAGAAGGGCTTGAAGAAATCCAAAACTATAGTAAATCAGATTACCGAAGCGCTCCGCAAAGTACAGAAAGGTACATGATGGAAAATTATACAGAACCTATAAGAACATAACCTCCAGGGCCAAAACTGAAAGTGAGATTTCGTTTATTCTCTGAGGCAGAGAAATTGGTAACGACTTCATATCGTTAATCTCTGATATGCCAAACTTATGTCAGTTAAATTAAAGTAATCACGAAATTCAAGAAGGTGCTCACTGTCAATCCTAGACCACAAAGGCTGACAACAGTCACGTTTCGCCAATGATCTGCACAGCCAGAATCCACTGCCTCACCATCAGCAACTCCATTGGTGAAATTCAACTTCATCAGCTTCACCAAAACCCCCATCCCACCATCATTCTGCTGTCCGGAGCCCCCGGCCCTCCACATCAAAACCCCTTTCAACGGCTCCCTCCTCTTCACAACCCTCATCCCCACCCCCACCACAGCCTCCGCCGCTCCTTCAGCATTCTCCGAAATAGAACTACCTTCTCCTCCGCCTTCTGAATTTACCGAACTGCCCTCGCTGTTCTTTGCCCTGTCCGTCAGTTCAATCTCCACGGTGTCCTGCGGCGTGGGTAGAGCAACCATCACCTGCGACTGCAACTTCAACGCGATCTGATCCTCGTCCTCTCCCGCGTTCCAATCGAGGTCGATCCTAAACCCTAGCTGCTCTTGATTGCTGATGCTGCTGGCGGCGGCGGCGGCGGCGGCGGCGTCCTGGGACGTCGGGGATGAGGCCGAGAACGGGGAAGCAGCGGAAGACGATCGCGTTGACGTCGGAGACGCCTCATCGAGGGTGTCGACATCCGGGCCGTAGCTCAGCGTCAGGTGGAAGACTTCGGTGGGGCGCTTCCAGCCCAATCCCCACGACATTGACGACAAATTTCAGATCAATGGAACCCTATTTAACCCTTGATTCTGTATATTTCTCGGGGTAACGATGCCGCGATCTGGCCGGAAAGAATTCAAGAATGTGGATTGAGAAAATTCTACACCAAATCAAATCATAAGAAAGGACATTTGCGGTGCGCGTAGATCAAAATGTACACAATACAAGATTTGCGAGGAAGAATGCTCTCGATTTTGTGATGGCGCACTAGAAAATGAAACGTCTGCAATCTGGCATTTGCATGTAAGAGGACTAGAGGAGTATCCTTTTGTTGCAGGCTTTGGCGGTTTGAGTTTTTATTGCTACCAGCCTATTACTGCAGATGACGGCGGACCGGGATGACTAATACGGTGCCGTTTGGATGTGGCAACGATTTTTCTTTTTCTTTTCTTTTTGATTTTTATTGGAAACAGAATATTTGTAGTACGTTCTCGGGTAGATAATGTATATAAATAATATAAAACATTAATTACCATTAATAATTATTTTTTTATTTGTCATAATGTAGTTATAATATTATACTAGTATTTATAAATTTTATGATTTTTATTTATAAGATTGAATGATTAATTAGTTTTGATCATTTTTTAATTGGTAAAGTTATATAAACACTGAACTTATTTTACATGAAAGAAAATGATTATTTTGATTTATATGAGTTATATAAGTGTTAAACTAAAAACTAATAAACTTAAATTAATTTGATATATTATTTATAAATATAAGTACTAGTTTAAACATAATTGAGCTTTCTTTAAAGAAAAATGTATGAAAAAAGAAATTGAAATAAAAAAATATTAAATAGTATGAATATTTAACTTACGAAAAATGAGAAAGGAAGGATTCAAAAAAAGTCTTTAATTAATATGGTAACTAGTACAATACCCATGAACTACACGGGTGTTTGATGGCAAATTAATTGTGCAACAAAAAATTAAAAAGAAATAAAATTATTATTGTGAAAAAATTATAAATTATTAATAATAAAGTGAAAGAATATGTAATAATATCTTAAATTCAAAAAAATATTTTGTATGAAATAATTTTTATTTTTATTTAAGATATATTCAATTTGTTAAAATTAAATATGATAATTAATTTATTATGCAGTTAATATAACATCCGTGAATAATAGGTGTGCATTAAAATAAAAATAAAATATTTGTATCAAAAGAAATAAGTAAAAAAAAATTATATTATTAAAAAAATTAAGTATAAAAATAATAATTTAAAATTAACAAAGTTAATCAATTATTTAAAATAATACCTATATTTTAAAATCAATTTATTAAAATAATATTTTCTTAGTATTACACACATATATATGTGTGTGTATTATCTACAACTCAATAATTTGTTTTCAATTAATTTAATTTTTTTCTAAGTCTGATTAATATTTTATATACACAATTTCCATCCCTCATCTACTATATTTTTAAATATTCAACTTTATAATATTCAGTTATTTAAAACTTTATAAAATATAATAATTATTTCTATTTTTTTGGTTAGTTATAATTAACATATCTTTAATATTTAATATCATTATAATATTCAATCTCTTTGTAGTTTTTATTTAAATTGAGACATAAATTTTAAAATATTTTTTTATATGTATTTTATGTTCATACTTAGTTTATATATATTCTTTTCAATTAAATAAATATTTTATGATATGTTAATATAAATCAATTTCTATTGATTCATAAGATAACTTGTATTTTTTAATTTAGTTTGATAAATCATAAGTTATCTAATAAGCTTCCTTGAGTAGCTTTACAAATAAGTCCATTGAAATTTTTATTTCAACTAGCTTATCAGCTAATTTTACAGAACACTTTTATCATATAAACTAATTATTAGCCACAAGTCATAAGCTATCAACTATAAACTCAAAATTCACTACAAGTTATAAACTAGCTTATCATCTAAATTTACCAAACACAGCCTAAATATGAGATAATTTATTGGTCTCATTTGTTCAATCACAAATTACAAACATAAAGATATGTCATAATAACAATCCATTCTATGGTGTTTTATAGGGCCTCAACTTTTTCTCTCTCTAAAATAAAACCTTTTACCCCAAACTCGCTCGAGCAGAACATTAGTCGTCCGCCATCGCCTTCTCTTCGTTAGATAGTTGTTTGACTTATTCTAGTTATTGTCTACTATGGAGGAAAAAAAAAACAACCCTAAAACAACAAAATATTCTTTTCGTCAAAATATATTTGTGGATAGTACTATTCCATTAGTAATTAAAAATGGTGTAGTAGTAGTTAGGTGAAGAAAGTTTCATAAATTAATAAATATTTGTCTATGCCACATAAAAATGAAAAAGTAATCGCATAGACTGGGAATAAATAATTATTTCCTTGACATATCTCTTCTTCTCTTTCCTCTCTCATTTTTTTGAAGTAATAGTCACAAAAGAATTTCATTTTAAAAATAATTACTAAAAAGATTCGTATATCAGCTAGGAAATTTCGAAGATACAGTTGCACTATCGTGTGCCTAGGCACACCTTGCTAGGTGTGCCATGCCCGATTTGCACGCGCTGCTCATTCTCAAAAAGCTCAAAAAGCTAGAAAATTTAGAAGGTGTAGTGCACTCTCCCAATTTTTATTTTTTAATGAAAAAATGAGACATATTACATAAATTAAAATATCATTAATTATTTATATTAAAAAAATAAAATAAAAATACCAAAATTCATAATTTTTCATTATCTATAAATAGAGACCACATTTGATAGGTTTTTGAACACAACTAATTTTCGTTTTTTGGTAACATGTTCACCTTATTGTGTATGTAAGATGTTCATTTTATTCTATAACATGTCATTTTATTATGTAACATGTTCATCTTATTCTATAACATGTTCATTTTATTATGTAACATGTTCATTTTATTCTATAACATGTTCATCTAATTTTCATCTGTGAAAATGTAACATTTTCATCTTATTAGAGAAGATTTTGGTTTGTGAAGGTGGAGGATATTCGATCGAAAGACTAATTTATGAAATTTCTTTTACATTCTACTAGTTTTTCACTTTCATTCTCTATAGTATGACTATTGCATAAATTTGAGTTCTTATCTGTAGATTATGGTTTATTATTTCAGGGCGGAGATGCTTGCATTAAACGAGTGAAAGTCGAGCAAGAAATTGACCAGAATTTTATATATGAAGTGGAAATTGGAGTGATGTAGATATGGAATCTAAACATGTCCATCTTATTCTATAACATGTTTATTTTATTATGTAACATGTTCATCTTATTCTATAACATGTTCATTTTATTATGTAACATGTTCATCTTATCGTATAACATGTTCATTTTATTATGTAACATGTTCATCTTATTTTATAACATGTTCATCTAAATTTCATATGTGAAAAATGTAACATTTTCATCTTATTAGAGAGGATTTTGGTTTGGAGGATTTTGGTTTGTGAAGGTGGAGGATATTCGATCGAAAGACCAATTTATGAAATTTATTTTACATTCTACTAGTTTTTCACTTTCATTCTCTATAGTATGACTATTGCATAAATTTGAGTTCTTATTTGTAGATTATGGTTTATTATTTCAGGGCGGAGATGCTTGCATTAAACGAGTGAAAGTCGAGCAAGAAATTGACCAGAATTTTATATATGAAGTGGAAATTGGAGAAAATAATGTGAGAGCCCGTGATGTAGATATGGAATCTAAACATGTCCATCTCATTCTATAACATGTTTATTTTATTATGTAACATGTTCATCTTATTCTATAACATGTTCATTTTATTATGTCACATGTTCATCTTATCGTATAACATGTTCATTTTATTATGTAACACGTTCATCTTATTTTATAATATGTTCATCTAAATTTCATATGTGAAAAATGTAACATTTTCATCTTATTAGAGAGGATTTTGGTTTGTGAAGGTGGAGGATATTCGATCGAAAGACTAATTTATGAAATTTATTTTACATTCTACTAGTTTTTCACTTTCATTCCCTATAGTATGACTATTGCATAAATTTGAGTTCTTATCTGTAGATTATGGTTTATTATTTCAGGGCGGAGATGCTTGCATTAAACGAGTGAAAGTCGAGCAAGAAATTGACGAGAATTTTATATATGAAGTGGAAATTGGAGAAAATAATGTGAGAGCCCGTGATGTAGATATGGAATCTAAACATGTCCATCTTATTCTATAACATGTTTATTTTATTATGTAACATGTTCATCTTATTCTATAACATGTTCATTTTATTATGTAACATGTTCATCTTATCGTATAACATGTTCATTTTATTATGTAACATTTTCATCTTATTTTATAACATGTTCATCTAAATTTCATATGTGAAAAATGTAACATTTTCATCTTATTAGAGAGGATTTTGGTTTGTGAAGGTGAAGGATATTCGATCGAAAGACCAATTTATGAAATTTATTTTACATTCTACTAGTTTTTCATTTTCATTCTCTATAGTATGACTATTGCATAAATTTGAGTTCTTATCTGTAGATTATGGTTTATTATTTCAGGGCGGAGATGCTTGCATTAAACGAGTGAAAGTCGAGCAAGAAATTGACCAGAATTTTATATATGAAGTGGAAATTGGAGAAAATAATGTGAGAGCCCGTGATGTAGATATGGAATCTAAACATGTCCATCTTATTCTATAACATGTTTATTTTATTATGTAACATGTTCATCTTATTCTATAACATGTTCATTTTATTATGTAACATGTTCATCTTATCGTATAACATGTTCATTTTATTATGTAACATGTTCATCTTATTTTATAACATGTTCATCTAAATTTCATATGTGAAAAATGTAACATTTTCATCTTATTAGAGAGGATTTTGGTTTGTGAAGGTGGAGGATATTCGATCGAAAGACTAATTTATGAAATTTATTTTACATTCTACTAGTTTTTCACTTTCATTCCCTATAGTATGACTATTGCATAAATTTGAGTTCTTATCTGTAGATTATGGTTTATTATTTCAGGGCGGAGATGCTTGCATTAAACGAGTGAAAGTCGAGCAAGAAATTGACTAGAATTTTATATATGAAGTGGAAATTGAGAAAATAATGTGAGAGCCCGTGATGTAGATATGGAATCTAAACATGTTCATCTTATTCTATTACATGTTCATTTTATTATGTAACATGTTCATCTAAATTTCATCTCTGAAAAATATAACATTTTCATCTTATTCTATGACATGTTCATCTTACTCTATAACATGTTAATCTTACTATGTAACATATTTATCTAATTATATATTTGCGTCATAATCTTCCAATAAGATAAATTAATTGTAAAAAATGATAAATTAATTGTGTTCCAATGTTCATATGTTCATCTTACTATATAACATGTTCATATGTTCATCTTATTTTATAACACGTTCATATGTTCATCTTATTGTGTAAATATGTAACATGTTCATCTTATTCTATAACATGTTCATCTTGTTATGTAACATGTTCATCTTATTGTATAAAATGTTCATCTAAATTCCATCTGTAAAATTATAACATTTTCATCTTGTTCTATAACATGTTCATTTTACTATATAACATGCGCATCTTAGTATGTAACATGTTCATCTTATTATATATTTGTGTCATCACCTTTCAAAAATATAATTTAATTATAAAAAAGGATAAATTAATTGTGTTCCAAAACTTATCAAATGTGGTCTCTATTTGTAGAGATTGAAAAATTATGAATTTTGGTATTTTTATTTTTATTTTTTAATATAAAATGTGAATAATAATTTAATTTATATAATATGATATGTAAAATTTATTATCCAATATATATTGGACACTTGTCTTTTTTAAACAAAAAAAAAAAAACTTGCATACCTTATTATCTCTCTCTCTGCGCGTGCACCTAGGATTTGGACAGGATTTTTATTTGTAAAGCCACGCTCCTTTTTCTTACGTGTAGCCACTCTCTGCCTTGGTACACCTAGCAAGGTGTACCTAGGTGCACGTAAGTATTTGCGTCGAAGATATCCCATTGTGAAAAATCAAGGGTGGGCAATAGAAATAATTGACTTTGAAGAAGCCAACCTAAAATACCCTTCAAAAACAGTTTTGTCTCCTTAGAAAAGAAAGGAAATAAAAAGGTTAAAAATATTGTGGAATAGATTTCTGTTTTAATTTTAAATGGATAGAAGATAAAAGTTAATTATTAGAGTTGATATGGTATGAAAATAGTTTCACAGTAGATACTGATTTCTGATTACAGTTTTACCATAACAAATATGCAGACATTTTTTTTTTTTTTTTGTGCAATTATTTACAGGAACACTTCTACTTTTATCATGTACAGAAAGATAGGTCTCATTCTTGGTCCACATAAATTTCCATTGCTTAAGATGTCTGCAAGCCTCTCGAGGCTGTAATAATCTCTCTATACCGACCTGCAGACAACTTTGGGGTTCTCTTGAGTGTGCCGAAATCAACATGGTAAAGCCCAAATCTTATGGTGTATCCAAAAATCCATTCAAAGTTATCGAGCAAAGACCACGCAAAATAGCCTCTCACATCTGCGCCTTTACTGAGAACAGTTCATATCACAAAATGAAGATATTAGTTACAAAAATGAAATATTTAAAACTTTCAGGTGTTTGGGATTTGGTGTGATGATAAATATTTTAGCATAAAACCAGGAAATGTATTTCTCAACACAATTGAGGGAAAAAAAATAAATTGTAAAACAAAATGAAGTACCTGATTGCTATTGCCAATGAATCCAAATAGCTGTTCATATACTCGACTCTTTTGATGTCATCAAGGAAGTAACTCATGGATGAATTTGGCTCGTTGAGAACGCCAAGGCCTGCAAGATTAATATTATTACCACGAATTTTTAAATCAATTTTTTTACGAAATAAATCTTAAAAATGAATTTTCCACCCAACCATTTTCCGTGATGAACATTGGTGTGTTGTTGTATCTATCCTTCACGTATGTCACAATCTTCTCCATTCCTTGAGGGTACACAAAAAGCCAATCGACCGCAGTCTAATATAGCATTCAACATAATCAAATTTATTTTCTAATTAAAAAAATATATCTATTTATCACTAGAGTTAGTGATGAGTGTACTTACAGGTTCACCGATAGCCTCACCATCTCTAAAGGCAGTACGGAAATAATAACCCTCTGATTTGCTGACACCTGGCGCCCCTGGTTCGCAGTAAGAGTACATGCAGTCCTTGCTATAGAAGCTCGTGTAGTGGTTGATACCAATAAAATCCAACTTGCTTGTTCTCATAATCTCGATATCTTTTTCTGAAAATACAGGCAAATGGGTCCCCAGCAAACGATGCATCTCTTTGGGATATTTTCCGAACATTATCGGGTCTAAGAACCTGCATTTGGGTTTTTTTCATCCGAGTCATGGTATTTGAGCAGTAATTTCATGTCGATCATATGCTTTACACTAACAGTATTTGGTATTATTTTCTAAGCTCCCAAAATAATAATGTTAAAGAGCTTCTAAGCTGTTTCAAGATAAAGCTCCTTTTATTATGTAGATATGAAATCCCCTCAGTCCAATATTTTGCGGTAGAAGCTTCGATCCGAGAGAAAAAAAATTGAAAAAGATAAAAGAATTAACTAATATCTAAATTTTAGAAAGTGCTCACCAATTCAAATAGAAAGATTGAGCTCGCTCGGCCGCCAGCCTGTCCTCTGTAGAATTGCTGAAAGGCTCATACCAAGCGGCATTCATTACAATTCCAATACTACCCCTTTGTTTCTTCTGTAACAACACACACAACAAAATTTAGCGAACAATTTTTCCAGATACTACACAATGATAAATTTTTTTGAGGTATTAATGTCTACACACCTGAAAAATAAAAATAAAAATAATGTCTATACACCTGGTATCGAGTTCGGTAGATTTTAACAGCACCCGCATGGCTCAAAATTATGTTATGTGCAGCTACTAAAGGCTCCTCCTCAGAGTTACCTTTGGTACAGTTACCATATGAAACCGAACATCGAGAGGGAGGGTAAAGTCCTGAACGGTACCCACGAATTGCCATGACATTAGGCTCGTTTAGGGTCACCCAGTATTTTACCCGGCTGCCGAAAAATTTGAAGCATATATCTGCATAATGCTCAAAATCTTTCCTGTGAAATGGATGATTCTTGTTATTTTTAATATTTTCTAAGAAATCAGCTAAGCAAGTAAAATACCACCATATAAAATAATAAAAAACATTTTACAGAAGCTAGCTGCCAGATGGTTGCATTTCATTGGGAGCCATCTCTTTATTTTAAGATAAGAATGTCAACATAAAAATAAAAAATAACATTACAATGCAAAATTAAACTTGCTACTTACCGTATTTCAGGGCTTAGCCATGCCCCGTATCTTTCTTCAAGTTCTTGAGGGATATCATAATGAGTCAACGTGACAAAAGGTTGTATTCCTGCAGTTATTGAAACAGAATTCTGCAAAATTTAATGTAGCATTTCTCCTCTCTAAAACACATCGATTATTATTATTAGAAAAACAAAGAAATGTAACAATTACTTTCAAACTCCATATGTTTTATGGTGATATAATTTTACGGATGTAACCTTTCTGCAAAAGTACGTCAATAAGCTTGCTGTAATGATCAATCCCTGCCTTATTCACATGTCCGAATCGTCCCTCTGGACATAAAGTAAGCCGTCAGGAACAAAAACAAATAAATTATTATCTCATGAAAGTAATATAAAATTGAATTCAAACTGCATATTACTGGGAAGAATCCTGGTCCACGATATGGAAAAGCGGTAGCTATTCACACCAAGGTTTTCCATGAGATCAATATCCTCCTGTTTCTCGTAATAAGGTCAACCAAATTATTAGGCTTTCGTCGATCTCATTTTTTACATAATATTAAAAGGCAGTGTGCATTTAGCACTGACATTGACTAAAATAACAAAATTGCAAGTTTCATTGTCCGGTCCCATTGGTTTGAGCTATTGATTCCTTTTATTCTTAGGGATTCTCAGTACAAGACTAAAATCAAAATGTAGCTTGAGAAAAAAAAAATCTTCCAAGATCTAAATGGGGTCTCTCAAGTAAGAAATTCATAAAATTGATTAATGAAAATATTATAAATGATAATATTATATAGGTTATAAGTTTATAACATCCGAAGTATTCAAGTATGGATTTTCACTCATGCGCATCAAACTCAACTTGCCAGAAGAAAATACGTGAGTGGCTGGCAGGCGTTAGATGTAACAGGAATTTAATTGGTACACATAAAATATACTGTATTGCTTTTGAAAG